TGAGGCACTCGAGGGTGGGAGGTGAATTTTAACTCGGGAGGAGTAGGGAAGCTTCACAGAGGACATAACTATCACCTGAGATGTTAAAAATATCTCTAGTTTGGCCAGTTGATAGAGAAGTGCGTAAGAATTTCAGGCGTAGGGAACAGAAGATGATAACGCACAGAATCCGCCTATTTTCGGAAAGTGTAAATATGAGTAGCTCTTGCATGGTGAGTGGGGGGGAAGTAGAGCCATACCGGTAGAATTGATCACATTAGAAAGTACCTGGCATGTTAAGAATGTGAATTACTTTCATACTGGGAATGAGGAATCAATAAATGTTTTATTTTGTTTTGCTTTAATTTAAGCATGCCAATACTTATTCTAAAATGTGCAGCTAGCTATAAAAATGAAGGATCCCTTAGCCTTTGAGATGGCATGTTGGGACCTGGAGAGTATTATGCTGAGCGAAATAAGCCAGCCAGAGAAAGACAAGTGTCACATGATCTTACTCATATGTGGAATCTAGTGAACAAAATAAACTGATAAACAAAATAGATCCAGAGACATAGAAGCATGGAACAGACTGAGGGATCTCAGAGGGAAGGCGGGGGTGGGTGGGGAGACATTATCATAAGAATTTATATACATATATACGTAACCCATGGACAAAGACAATAGTGGAGTGACGGCCTGGGGGGAAGGGTACAGGGTGGAGGGGATCAATGGGGTAAAAAAGGGGACATTTGTAATGCTTTCAACAATAAAGATAAATTTTTAAAAAATTAAAAATAAAAATAGAACAGGGTCTGGCACTGATTAAGTACCAGCAAGTGCTAACTTCTGCTTCTACCGCTCTTTCTATTACAATTGAATAGTTAATCTTGAGAGAATGAATATAGGAATCTGAAGTGCCCTATATACATACAACACCTTATATACATATATACACAGCATCAGTATAACTTGTATGTTTTTAGAGATATCTATCACAGCAGCTTGTGAGTATAACATTCTCTGTTCTGTTTTCTTTTTTATTTTCTGGCTTATTGTCTATCTGCTGACTATATTATGAACTGCAAAAGAGAGGAAGTTTTGTCTCTTTGTTTCTGCTCTACACCCACTGACTAGCAACGAGCTGGACACGTCACAGGTACTCAGTAAATATTTATGATAAGCAAAGGTGAACACAATAGAAATACAAAGAAAAGAACCCTCTTTCCTCCTTAGTCAGTTGCACAGCCTATCACAAAGCCACTGCAATGAGAAAAACATTTTGCATTACTTTTCTATAACCACGGGCCAGATCCTCAGCTGAAGAACGCATGCATGAAAGAAATGTGAGCAGGGTTCTCAGGCCCATCTTGTGGGACCACTGCCTTTCTCCCTGGACCTCCTACTGGCTTCGTCTCAGGAGTAGCATGGGAAGGCAAATGTATTTCTGAGAGTTACAGCCAAGATGCAGATCAGCTCCAGAAAACTGAAATACCTGAAAATGGAGCATTTCTTGGTTTGGAGGAAAGATACTGGAATCTAAACATGAAGTTTGTCTTCCTCCAAGGAAAAAATAGATATTTATACTCATATAAGATGTCACCTACTCACCCTTACTATGTTTTATTCCTACTCCGTGAGGTGATACCACCAAATGATTTTCTCCCAGCTATGTTCTCAGCAAAAATAAGCTAGAAAGGAATACTGCTATCTCTATTTTAATATCTGAAAATAGACTAGCTTTCCAAATTTTGGAACAAAGAAATATAAAGTAAAGGAGCATGAAGAGAGAATATAAAGAAGAGAGTGGAAAGCTATGATTTATGAGTGGAAGTGATTTTCTTATATAGAGACCTTTTGAGAAATGAACTCAAGAAAAAAGACAGAAAACCTTCTTAAATGTCAGTCTTCTTTGGTAAGAGGTAGTTTCTCAGTTCCGATTGTCACTGTAAAATGTCTTTGTTAGCATATTTACAAATAGCTTAGGATTGTGTCCTCTTTAGATGACTGAAAGAGTTGCTATCACTTTTATCATATATATATTTTAACATATCGTTATTGATTTCAGAGAGAGGCAGGGAGAAGGAGAGAGAGAGAAACATCCATGATGAGTCAATGATCGGCTGCCTCCTGCACGCCCCCGCTGGGGATCGAGCCCGCAGCCCGGGCATGTGCCCTGACCAGGAATCGATCCACGATCTCCTGGGTCATAGGTCGGTGCTCAACCGCTGACCCATGCTGGCCGGGCATCATATATATTTTTATGACACTTATATTTTTAAAGTAGTGCTGAGGGGATATTGTGTAACAGGTCATGTGTTGGACTAAGATGAATAGACCGTGGCTTTAACCGCTCCAGATGTTACTGTGCTGGTACATGATGAGGGAGTGATGGTGGGGTTTGCTAATGAAATCATGTTCTTACCTCATTACATTTTGTTTACCAAAAATAGTTACTTGATCTTTTCACGTCACCTGATCACATTTTACCTTATCTGTAAACATAGTAACATATTGATCAATGTCCACATGAACATAGTGTAGAGAATCGTTCATTACCTCTGATAGCTGTATGGTTATCATTTTAATCTGTAAAAAATTGCTATTTTAATTACAGGAAAATTTTAATCTAGATATAATTCTTCATTTCCGAGGGGAAATTTAGTGGAATCATGTGAAAGAAGGGAGGAATGCCAGGGATAGAAGCACAATAGAGCCCTATGTTAGAGTGAGAGAAAAAACTGGATTGATATGTTGTAACACAAACATATAATAATTAAACTTCAATCCTAACCCATCTCTTTCTCTATGAAATAAGAAAAAATTCTAATTGACTTTTTAAAATTGACTTTTCTCTCATCTTAATATATTTAAGGACTACTTACCTAGTCCTTAAATTATATACACTAACTGTTATGCTTTTTTTAAATGCTACAGTTCACAAAAATTTAGTAATGCAAATGAAAGCATATAGTGTCATTTATTTTAAAGCATCTAAACAACAGTCATACATGTTATATCATAAAAATATTGAAAGATATCATAAAAATATTGAAAGAACGTGAATGAAAATTCTACCAATTTTTTTTATGATGTTTTGAACTGTGAGGTGTTCTATAGGTTTCTACTGTTTCTTACATTCAAATTAATGTTATTTAATTCATGGTTCCTCTTTTAAATACATAGGTAACATGTATTTAATTTTGTCAACATAAAATGTAATCTTTTTTTTTTTTTTTTGCTTTTATGAGCCATTTTCTTTGTGCAGTATCCTTACTGGGCATAATTCTTTGCAAAAAGTCCTTAGTCTTGATCTATATTGTAAAAATAATTTGAACATATTACTCGAAACAAATGTTGAAATTAACTTAAAATTACTTCAGATATCTTAAAAGATGAATAGTTGAAGCACAGAAACATCTATGGGAAAAAATAAGATTTTTTTTAATTGTAAAGAATGACACTTGATGTGTTGCAAAAAGAAATGAGTTGTGATGAGGGACAGGAAGGGAATGAAATTTTATTATAGTGGTTTTTATGAAACTGTGCCTCACTTTACAAACTAAATATAATCTTCAGAATGTGGAGCATTATTTTTAATAATCAAGTCTTAGGTTAGATATATTAGCAAAGAACACTTTGAAGAAAAAGTGTACATATGTATGCTTGTGTGTATATGTTCAGCGCTTTGTACCTAGCCACGAGGGGCTCAAAACAGCTTTAGAAAAAAACCTATAAAGTCTTTCTATGTATATCCAAGTCACAAATTCCAAACCCTAACCTAGAAAGAGTTTTTATATGACTTATATATGAAAGCACGTGTATATTTACATTGACATGGAAGTGATATACAATCGTGACGGTGAAGGTAGTGTTGGGAGATAATTTCATCGAATTTCAATATCTAGACTACAAGCTACATAAAGGCAGGTATTGTTTTATGTTCTGATTACTGAAATGCTTCAAGCCTCTAGAACATTATGTCATGCATAGTGAGACTTAGTAAATATTTGCTGAATGAATGAATGAATGGACAATTTATAAATAATCACCCTGCTTATGTTTTAGGTCATAAAAATGATAATGTGATCAGTTGTAAGTTAATTGTCTGAGACAGCTAGTGGCAAAAAGCTCATATATTAGTTCCTTAGAAAGTGATAATATCCTTCAATAAATTATTTTACTATTAAGTGCTGAGTCAGGGAGAGCAGGAAACATCAGCAAAGGGTCTGTAAACTAAAGGAGGGTTTCCAGACAAACACCTTATATTCTATATGCCCCCTTACTTAAATCATTCTGTGATTTACAGTGAATTTCTATATGGGGCAGATAAGTTAATACTTGTTATGAAGATTTATTTATCCACTCAGTAAACACTTAGGAAATGCTTTCCCTCAGCAGTAGTGGGGATATAATTGTGTACCCGTGACTGCCATGGCCCCTGTCCCGTGGACTGTTTCTCTTGTGACAGAAATAAATATAAAACCAAGTAAACACATAAATAAGCAAAATAAATATATCATATGTTAAGTACTTTGAACAAAATAAATGGAGACTGGGAATTTGGGGACTGAATTGTTATGGTTTTCAGGAGAAGCAGTTTTGAGGAGATAATATTTAAGCTGAGATCTGTAAGTTGCAAGTTCAGCCTAAAAAGAGACTTTCTCTGTTGAATAAGCTCTAAAATATCTCCAAAGGCAGGTATGCACACCACTGGGAGGAAAGAGGAGAGAGACTACTCTGCCTAGACGCACAGCACTCGGTGACGTTGGAAACGCTTGCCTCCAGGGTTAATGCCCATGCACCAATGGAGACACATTCCTGTTCTGCACAGTAGTCATTACGGAGCTCCCATATTTTTATATTGTTCACTCTGTGTTTGGGATGTTAAAATAACCACCAATATAAAACAAAGAAATACAATTTTGATGATACCCCAACAAATGGAGTCTAATTTTATGTATTAAGCTTTGACTATATTTCTATTTTTTATTTGATTTCTTTATTTTATACATGTTTCCCAGGATAGTCCACTGGTCTTACAGTCTGACAGGAATGTAACAGTGAATGCAAGAAATCACATGGGGCAGTTAACTGGACAGCTGACAGTAGGTGAGTGTTTTGGGGTAAAATCTCTTGTACCATCTTACTCCATTTGAAACTCTGGGGTTGTTTAAATTGGGTAAAGCAAAAGTATATCATTTCTCTAATATATAACTAGACATCCCATGCAGCCCAGTTATCTTGCACATGATTTGATTTGTCGTGAGGCTAGTCATGCTTTCCTGTTTGGTAGTTATTCTTGTCAATAAATGTGTTGTTTTGGGACTGAATTATATATATGTATTGCTGTTATTACGCTTGAATTATAAAATGCACAATTTTCTTAACAAATATCTCCCTAATATATGTTAAATTATAGTAAATAGGCTTGAATAAACATGTCTATGTATCCTTTATTTTAGGCAAGTTTACCAATAAACATTATTATCAGCTTATATAAATTAGAAATGACATACTAATTGAATATAATAAATCTTAACGTTTATGAATTACTTATAAATTTGATGCTGAATTATCTAAACTTTAAAGCTTATAGGTTTTAGCAGTGATAAATATGTTAATGATAAAATATTATGTGTTTTATCATATTGTCAAAAATTTCAGAGATTCACATTACATGGCATTATAATTTGAGTCAATTTTTGTAAGAAGAAAGGCAAATTAAAAGTCAGTTGTAAGATAATACAAAGATTTAATTTGTGTGTAAATACTAAAATATTTTTACAATACTACATTTTTCTGTGGGAAAATTGCCTATCACTTACTGATATTTTGTGTGTTGTGAGTGTGTGTTTGAAAGTATATTACAAATGGTAAATTACAATTTTGAGGACTAAGTTATTCTTATGTTAATGATAAGTTCATCATTTTAATGCACATGTATGTTCTCAGTATTTCTAATTAAAATACACGAAATTATATTATTTAAAATGTAAGATTTATAAACGTGAGTTTGGTTCTGTCCACTTTCCTTGTAGGTATATGAAATACTTTTGTTTGTTTATTTATTTTTGTTTAAAATATTACAGATGTCCCTTTTTCTCCCCAATGACCCATTTCACCCCATCTGAAATACTTTTGGATATGCTGTTCATTTTAATGAAACTAAAAGTGACATATTTTATCATGAATTTCCAAAGATATAATTGAATTTTATTTATAATAATTAAATTTTATTTTACATATTTTTAAAGTGTAAGAGTTGGTCAGTAGGTATCTATTAATTACATAACTGGATAGTACTTTGTGATACACAGAAATATATCAATTATGTGGGAAGGGGGCCCGATAGACAGTGTAAATGACCTGCCAATACATTCTTGTTATAATGTTGGAACTGCAGAAACAGGCCTAAACTGGCAGATTTTCCATGTCATAATTTTCTTAATGTTGAGAACACTTTAGATAGATAAAACTTTCTTTTATATGCTGTTCTTGATTAAAAAAAGAAAAGGCCCTTAGTGGAAATGCCTAAATGTACATTAAACTCCAAAGGGCACATCCCAGAGTCCACCGCAGTACAATAGCTACCTAACTATCTCTAGGAGAGCGGAGCAGCTGCTTGATTACATGGGGAGTAATCAGATGCCATTTGCATTTTGCTGCATGCTTCCTGCAGGAAATATGAAGAAAGATAGTATCGTGACCGCATTTTCAACCACTGTCCCAAACTGATTTTAATATAGTCTAAGTGTTTGTCAGTGGAGGGAAAGGAGAATGAAGAGACAGAGAGGAAGGGTGGGTGGAGGGAGGAAGGTTATTTTTGATTTTAACTGAAGCAAATCCGTAAGTTATTGATGTAGCAGCTTATACCTGTGGATGGAAATATACTCAGTCCATTGAGCCTTAAACTAAAATCTTTTTTAGCATCCTGGCCATTGGAGTCTACCATTGGCGACCTCCTTCTTTTCTTTGCTTTGTATTTTTCAATAAACCTAAAGAGGAAAAAGGAAGACTTAGAAAAAGGGGGGCATGGAGGGAGGGATCAAGTGTTCACATTTGAAATCAAAGCATCTGGGACTCCAAAAAAATAACTTATCTCTTGGTGACTCGGTTTTTTCATCTCTAAAACAGAGATAAGAATATATATTTAGAATAATATTATAAGAATCGGCAATTTCAGTATCTCAAATAGTAGACAATTATATTTTAAATCTTTTATTATTTTGATGATGATAATTGTAATAATCGTACCACTTAGAAATACATTACTATTACTTGAGAAACCTTATGATGATTTCCTATCCAATGAATCTCTGTGATAGTTGTTGAGGAATGTAGGCCCGATTACAATACTGTTGCAAGGATATACTCCAAACATCACAGTAAGTGTATCTGATGTGTGGAAAATTTTTTAATCATATCAGAATTAAATTATCTTTAGGTAGAATTTGAAGAAACAATAGGATGAATTTAAGCAATGTATTTAATCAGTATTCCTTTCAAAATACTTTAGTTTTAGTTGTATTGATATAAAACAGCTGTTTAAACTTTTCATGCTGCTTTTTTTTTCTTTGTTTCAGTTTTTGTTTAGTGGCACAGTCTTGGTTATAGTATAAACATGTTACTATTTTTCAATATTTAAAAATATACTTCCAAAAAATGGACTAATATTTATGGAAAATAAATTTGTTCTTTGTTTTCTACATAAAACAATTTTAATTATTTCTACCCTAAATCTGTCCCTTTCTATTAGAAAAGTTTGACAGTCTGAATTATTTTTCTACATTTTATTCCTATTATAGAAGGGAAAATAAAATGCCTCTTATCAGTAGCTACCTGTATCATATTTTCCCAAAATTCTATGTACAATTGGCCAGCAAAGCAAATATCCATTCCCCTTATATATATAAATGTTAACATATAAGTGTCAATTTCATGAAATTAACTGCTCTCCAGTATCTCTTAGCCAACTTGAGTAAGGTATTGAATTATATGTTACTTATTCTTACATTACATTATAAAGTATTGGGGGTTTTTTGATCAATCAGTGGCTAAAAAGAATATTTTTTCCCTCTTGTATGTCTTTTGTTATCAGTCAATAGCAGGAAAATAAAAATAAAAGGAAGGTAGACAAAAAATTGAACATGGAATAATATTAATGAAAAAGGTCATTTTGTTTGAATTGAATTATTTTTGTTTAATAGTATCATTCATTTAAATTTCAGTCACAAACAATGTCTTTTGAGGAGCCCAGAATGGTTGCTATGTGGTCCTGTGTGTAAATATAATAAGCTCTAGGATGCCCCATCTGTATCATTAGCCCAGTAAAATATTAAGACTAATTGGGTATTAAATATAATTAGAATGTCATTGCTCTGAAATTTTAGTTTCGAAATGTGCCTAAAGTCACAATCTTATGCTTCAAATGGGATCTCGCATTTCACCACGATGCTCCTTGTTTAGGGCTCAACAAATTTGGGGAAATGAATTAACCCCAAGGAACTGCTAGCTGTTATGGTCAGGATCATTGATTCATCACTGGTATTCTCATCTTCATTAATCAAAAAGCAGGGCATATCAAATTATGTAAAAACCTCCATTACAATCTGTAATCCTCATATTCTGTCTTTCTTGAAAATTGTTATTTTAAATCCTCACCTGAGGGTATGAGTTTATTGCTTTTAGAGCGAAGGGGAGCTTGGTGGGGAGAGAGAGGTTGATGTGAGAAACATCCATCAGTGGCCTCCCATTGGCACCCTGCCCAGGTATGAGCCCGCAGCCCGGGCATGTGCCTGACCTGGAACTGAACCTGCAACTCTCTGGTGCACAGGACGAAACTCCAGCCACAGCAGCCAGGGCTTTTTTTCATCTTGTTTTGCTTGTTTTGATGTCTCTCTTCACTAATTCTTCAATGCTTCCAACTTCTTCAAGGCAATTCTTAAAGAAATCTACCTGTATAGCAGTAAGAAAGGATGCCATTGGCAAGAAATGATACGCAGTGCCGTCCACATTTAGAACCAGCTTTCTTTACACTGGTGACATGTGGAGAACCAACCACATCACACTGCAGACAAGTTCAGGCAGCTCTGCAGGAGCCGGCGCCTGGTTCCTCCTGAGGCCCGAGGAGCCTGCGTCCCCCCAGGGCCCGGGACCTGCCCGGGGGTGCGCAGGGAGTCGGGCGGCAGGTGGGCCCAGGCAGATGTGGCTGGGCCGGCCCTCTGGCTTTCCCAGGGACTGTCAGTCCAGCACACACTGAAAAATCATGACCAGAGAAGATGTGCTTGATAAGAAAAATAGCACACATTAGGATTTTGTAAGGAGAATATTTTTCTTCGATTCAGTTTCTTCTGATTTTGAGTCAATAGGCATGAATAATAGTTCATAGGGTGAAACATTTTTCAAACACAGTAAGTTTACAAGGAGATAAAAATGTACAAATGTATAAAATTACATTAACATTAGTACACTGTTTATCTATATAAAAGCTCTTTGTAACCTATAGAGTAATTAGTTAAACTACATTGACCTTCCTGGGAGTAAAGTTATAAAGGGAATTGTGACTAATGGCATCATCTCATTATATTTAAGGAAAAAACATATGAGCTTCTTATGGGAAACCAAAGATTTTTCCCCAAAATTGTACTGAATAAAATGTACATATTGGTTAATAGAGAGAAAACTGGATGACACAGCGTATGCTGTTTTTAGCAAGTGTGCCTCCAGAGAAGCATTGGGCCTGCTAATACCCTGGCAAGGAGCTTTAAAGAATGCTGAGAACACGGCAATAGAGTGCAGTTAGATAGAAATAATTGTGGGTGGCAGAAAGATAGCCTGCTTATTGCTTCAGCTTAATTCAAGGGTAAAACCTAGACCTACCTGCAAGAGATGATGTGTGTGACCATTTCTTAAGTGATACAGACTTTCACCTGGGCTTGTCATCGACTGGATGAAGTAAGGGCTCAGAAAGTAGTGATCGTTGTGGCTGGATCTTTTCATGTTGGAAGTCAAGCAACCTGATGGTGAAATCACAGCCTTTAGTAAAAACTGAAGACCCTAACTAAGTCTCCTAACTGTGTCGGTGGCTCTCTGCCACCTCAGGACGTATC